AAAAAAAAAAAAAAAAAAAAAAAGCCTTTTACTGAAGGTATAACAATTCAACATTAGTAGTCAGCCTTACATCCATTTTTTTTTAATTCCCTTTATTCACTGGGTACAAAACTCCCCACAGCCTTCCCCACAGTAATCTGTGGCAGTGTGTTTCCAAGTTTCATCACTGGTATACAATCTGGAACTTTGAAATTATTTTTATTGTTCAGGAAACCATAGGATACTGCAGAGAATAAGGGATAAGAAGTACAAATCACTATGTAGTATAGAAATTGTTCTGGATGACTCCTGGAATTGTTCTGGATGACTCCTTGAAACTCCAGGGCAGTTTATTTTGAACACAAATATATAGAGATATTCATGAAAAATAAAATAATGAATTTTCTTCAGAATGTGTCTGTCTCAATGACAAGAGAAAGTCAAATCAATTTATTTCATTAGCTGACTTCTTCTCCTCCATTTGATTCAATTCTTGTCTCCAGTTTCAGAGTTAAACTACTATTAAAGTTGTTCTGTATTTCGCAAGGAATTGTTAGCTTTCAAGGCTAAGAAGAGGGATGTACTGTATCTAGGATAGTCATCTGGGATAAGCAGTTAGTTTTATAAGAACGGTCTATAATTTATTTAACTTAAATAGATTAACTACTTTTGCAGCTGAAATTGTGCATAAATTGCTATTCTATTGCAGGACAGTGTCCTGGAGCATTAAATTAAAAAAAAAAAAAAAAAAAACCAACAAAACAACAAAACAACAAAAAAACAAAAAAAAAACACCAACAAAACAAACCACAATATAAAAATATTTTTCTGTCACATTTACTACCACCTGATGTTAAACTAAATTCTAGAAAGGATATAGTAGAATGAGTTAAATAAATCAATAAGGAAAATTTCTTTGCTTATTTCCAGTCAGGCTGTATTTTAAATATTAATATTATTCACAACATAAAATGACTAATTAATATATAGAGAGGGAAGCATTTTTGCTATTTGGCGTGACAGAAGATATACAATGACAGTCCTGTGCCCAGCTTGAATTCATTAGATATTTCACCCTAATCATGTTTTGAACAAAACCCAAAACCACATTCCTTTCATTTGTTATTTTTTCAACTGGGTTTTGTGGTAGACAAAACAGTACTTAAATAGGAGAGAGCCAGTGAAATTCTGGCATAGACAATTTGTTGCATTCCTGTAAAAACAATGACGAGTCCACAGCTTTTTATTAAATATATTAATCTGAAAATTTTGAAGTTATTCTGAGAAGTGTCTTTTCCTAGCAGATAAGCTAAAGATAACAGGAAAGACCAATAATTTTCACATCCAACTACAGAGTCAAATATTGAAGATTATATTTTTATTTTGTGGAGTTAGAGATGGCTACTGCATTAATGCACTGATGGAGATACAAGAAGAAGATGAAATGCTTGGAACAGATAAGATACAAGCTGAATCAACATCAAAAGACTGAAAGTCAGGAAATCACTAATACTGCCAATATTCACTCACTGTGTATGATGCTTGACAGATTTTATCCATTACAGGACTATATTGCTAGGTCAATTCTTTGCAAAGATGTCAACCCTCCTGATGACCCTTGAAAAGACCACTGTTTAGCAAACAGATTGCAAGATCTTCTGAAAAAAATCCCAGAAGCAAAATTTAGAAAGTCTAACCGAGCTAATGGGATATTGTAAAGTTATCTGACAAGTTCCTACAAGACAAACTTCCAAAGTCAACCAGATGCTTCACATTTTGTATGTAAGTTATTTGGAGAAATAGGACTCACTGAAGCAGTACAGAATTTTCTTCCTAAAGCAAGATCCGTTAAGTCATTGCATTTTTCAGTGATGGTCATATGCTATATTAATCTCCACTAACAACAGAGTAATAGCAATAAAATACAAATATTATACCAGTAGCAGTAAGACTAAACTTGATCTTGAGTTTGGAGAGCTTTGGCTATTGTAGAATTAAAGCAATTGTATTTTAGAATTGTATTGTAAACAAATGTAAAATACGCAAATGTATTTTACATGTAGAATGGTTGATTTGTTCTCTCTCCACCTGAATAAATATTTTTCCTATGTCCAAAATCTAAAAATGCAGGTACTTAAAATAATTTTGATATTTGAAGGAAATCTCAGAAATTAATGCATTGGTACAAATGAGAATAACTTTTGTAAAAGGCATGTTTCTTCCATAAGTTCACTTGCTACAGTGAAGAGCCCCAATTGGTCATATTTCAGTAACATCTTGGCGCCATCTGGTAGATGTGCTTGTCATTCATTTCCAAACTGTAAAGTAGCACACAGAGCTGAGCATCAACCTAACATTATTTGCTTTTTTTGACTGATTATTTTTCAGGGGCAATCAGTTAAGAGCTAAAATCTTTTGTTCTGTCTTTTAAAAATACTAATTAGATGCTTATTAGATGTAATATTTTCTCTTAAAGAAACAGTTAATTGATGTTAAACTCCAAATTACCCTCCAATTATAAATTTGGCATCTGAAAGTTAATAACATTGATCTATAGTGATGTTCACAATTTACAACAAAAAGAAATCAGGAAAATAATCAAAAGCAGAACATTTGATCATGTTGCTCTTATAAACTCCCTTAAGACTTCAGTGCTTCTTTCCCTTAACTGGTGCTGGCGGAAAGTTCACTTCATTAATGCTGATCACTGGAAGAGAGTTCCTTGACACAGACCCCAGTCTTCAAGCTCTTACACTAGTTCATAGCTAAAAGCAATGTTCCCTTCCTATTCTTTCAACTCCAGGATAGTAGGTGCTACTAGAGAATCTCAGTGTCGAGGATGTAAATATCTTTAAGCTGTTATTAACCATTTTCTTGAAATCACCTCTAACACAGGCTTAAGTTACAAGAAGAAAAAAAATTAAAAGCCGAGAACACAACTTACAAAGGCTCTATAAGGGCAAAAGTGACAAAAAAGAAAATCACTCCATCTTTGCATTGCAGAAACACATCCCAGATACGTCTCCCTCCCAGGATTCAGAGGATAAACTACAAACAATTGCTTAACCTGTGGGCTTAGAGGCTCAGTTCTATTTCCTATTCTGTGTCCTCAGCCCACATTCAGAGAAAACAGCTGTTGGGCTGGGGAAGGATGCTGACTTCTATATCCCTGTTTATCCCTGATATAGATCCTTGAGGGTTCCCCTGAGATTGCCAGATATCATCTTTACCCCTTCTCACTCACTTCACCTTTCTTCTAAGGAAATATTTATTTGTAATTCAATCAGGAAATTCATTTTGTTGTCAACCACATTTCTGTCTGCTGCCTTCTGCTTTGTAAATATTAATATTGGTTGGGCATCTGCTCAAGTGTGAAATAGTCTTTTAGCCACCAACTCTCTGTTTGGCAAAGCCCTAATCAGAGTTTTAGGCAACGTGAAGCTGAATCTCTTTCCACCCAGATAAGCAACTCTCATCTTTGAGCCATTCAAATTTCAGTTTTCTTAAATTAATTTTAACTTTTCAGCTGTCAGATATGGCTCCCAATGTGGCCACATAAATGCTTGTGCCAAAACAAAAGGCACCAGAGGCATGGGAAAGAATATTCAAGGGAAGAAACTGCACGTCTCAGTGATGGTTTATGGCAATTTGAAACATACATGAAGCAAATACTTGCCTTCTTATGACACACACATGCATTAAATATTTTTATTTAATATTCTTATATAGTTTACTTTCAATAAATGTGTACACAGAATGTAAAAAATGCCATCTCAAATAAGGTCTATGAGTCAGTGGGACTTCAGGGATTCAGTCACTTCCAAAATCACTGTCTCTCTCTTAGAAGCTCCAAAGTGAGTTAAAGCAGAGGGAGTGATTAAAGAATCAATTTCAAGATTCTTTGTTGTGATATTTCCTTTTACAGAAAGTTCATTCACAACTCATAGGTAAGAACTCTCCTCTTTAGGGATTGTCAGTGGTCTCAATCATGGTTACTTTGTTCTAACAGTATGAGCAACAGGAAAACACAATAAATAAAGAAGGGACAGAACCAACCATCGCCTTTGTCACTTGCTTTCCCATTTAAATTCAGATACTAACCAAAATTTTTCCTTGGTAATTTTTATTTCTGTTTTTCTAGTATCGTCTCACATTACTTTACTTTGTCAATTACTTTGTCAATAGCTTTAGTTAAAAATGTGTGATCTTAATTTCTTCCTTCCAGCTCTTTCAATTTTACAGGTTTCTTTCCTACTGGCACACAAAAAAATTAATGTCGAAGTGAATTTACAGAACGTGTATAAAACATGCTAGCAGAAAGCTGTGAAAACATCATGCACTGGCTTTGGCATTAGAAAAAGTCTCACATTAAAGAAATATTTCAGATACCAACAATCTTGACAGGCTTATATGATACTTATGATAGCACTTTAGGCAATAAGCAAGTGCAAAACAATGGGAAATGCATACTTGAATCAAGACTGCGTGTTACTTTTGATTACTGAGAACTAGCGGTGAACGATATGATCTGGGTAAGAGTCCACAGTGAATTATCCTACGGGTTCAAGCACTAAGAGGGAAGTAATTCAGCATATACTCAAGATTATATTTGTACGGTTTTATGCCTTTCCTTGCTGGTCCCTGGGATAATAGAAACATCTCAATCTTCAAAATTTCTGTGAAAAGGCCAGAAATGTTTGCTGAAAGCTTTCCATAAGTAACAGTGATGGACATCAGTGAGGTCTTTCTCACTTCTCTGTACATAGCATGAAGTACATTTCAGACTAATGTTTCAACTATAGCAGTGCCATTCATCTGTTTTATCATTAAAGTATGGTACATTAAAAATAAAGTAAACCAATATGAAATTAATAGTGCATTGCATCCTAAACCATGTAAAACACATGCTGATAATAACACACTATCTTTAGATCCTAATTCCTAGATAAGCCTTATGGAACATCCAAAGCATTCACTCCAAGTAAATAGCTACAGAAAATACGAAACAACATTATGCAGAAAACCAATCTTATTGATATAGTATATATTTAAGTAAAATAAAAATTACTGAATATGTAAAAGATAATTAATTCACTGCACATAACATCTTGTCCTCTGCAAAACTAAAATAGATTGCAAATCATCTACATCTATAAATATTGTTTATCTATAAAAACAAAATATGATGACTATATGACATAAACCCACAAACATAAAAAAACCTGACAGTTAAATTTATTAAATGAATTCTCCTTGGGAAAGAGTGAAACCAGACAGATTACAACTGCAGTACAGTAAAGACAATGAAGTTCTTAATGGTAATCCTGAGTATTTGCAGAACAAACTACATTTTTGACAAGGCAGAACCAACAGCCAACATTTAAGAGACAGGACTATACTAGTCACATTTAGAAATTCAAAACATACAGGGATTTCTAATGGCAATATTTGAAATATTGCAAAATTTCTTCTGACACTTCTTAGATGTAATAAAAAGGCAAGTCTAAAAAGGATTTACTGCCATTACTGAGGTGGTTGTTACTATTAATTTTATTTCCCTTGCAAACTATATGGTCTAGTAATAGGCTACATTGTGCATAATATAGTTGGGCTGCATCATCATTAATTAATAGATGACCGTTGCCCTGAGCAGCTTAAAATCTGAGAACAAGACAAGAAACAACAGATGGTAAGAGACAGACAGATGTAAAAGTACCAGAAAATGCAGTATTGGTCAGCATGATAGGCTGGTTGTCTCAGACCTCCAGCTGTCTAATATTTTGTCAAAATTTATATGAGCAGCACAAAACCAGAGTTTTAAGGAGGATTTTGAAGGATAATAACACAATAGCTTTGCAGATATTAGTGGTACCTTCTCCAAGTAAGAAGCAGGAACAGAGGTGACATGAATGTGAGCAACAGAGAAAGTCACCATGGTCTGTTTGGAGCTGAAAGTTGCCATTGCAACAGCAAATGATAGGGGCTAGCTGAGAATAGGCAGCCAACGGCCTTAAATGTGAGGACAAGCAACCCAAATCTGACATAACAATGAGAGATTTAATGTAGGGACTAAGAAACAAGGGTCAAAACAATAAACTACAAAAACGACTTTTTGTTTTTAAACAACACAAAGCAGATGATCTGAAAGCAGACAAAGTAGTATTTTCCACAGCTAGATACTTGAAGTCTTGATGGAAGAGATGGAAAACGAAGGTCCTTTTTTAGAAATATAATTTAATTCTTCATATGTCTAAGCAAGCCCATTTAAAGCTTAAAATCCATGTTGCTTTTAATATAAACAAAAGCATCCATAAGCAATTTCCATTCAAGCACAAGACCCTGCTTCCTCAGTGTGTCTGAATTTAATTTGGATATAACTGAAAGTATCATTTGCCAGAAGACTTTCCTCTGTCCTTGGTTAAGCAGTTACATAGGTCTATGGAGCAGCCAGGTCCTGGTTGACTTTTCCATGCTTTCCTCTTGACCTTCTACAACACTTTCTTGCCTCACCCTAGCATTTTCCAAGGAACTCCTCCCATCTTCTTGCAGCAGAACTCAAGGGATAAACAGCACGACTGTTTTGAGAAACTTTAGGCTTGTAAAATTGGTCCTACAGAAACTATATACTCTTTTGATTCAAATTTGCTTTTGTGCTCAACATGACGTGCAATTTTTTAGTGGAGAGACCTTGCCTGCAATGCTTACTTATTCCTTAAATCCCTCATGCCTTACAGAAATATTTTCTGTAAGGTTACTGCTAGTTGCATCCAATAGTTGTATTTACATATGACATTTCCACCCCTGACACCAAGTAACGAAGACTCTGATTACTAGCCTGGGTGAAACCAGCATTAGAAAGAGTAGAAAGACTTCATCCTC